AAACTCCCTGGATGATTCATTGCAGCACGTGCGGGCTGAGCTTAAATGCGGCCATTGCACTGGAATGCTTCGATTGCACGGGAATGCTCTGATTGCGCCGAAGCCTCGACGGTGCCGATTGCGCTGTCCTGCACCGATTGTGTGAGTAGAAGGTTTGGTGTTGCGCTTTGGGGCATCAGCGGGGTATAGAGTATAGAGCTTTAAACAATTAAGAGGCAGTGATTTAGGGGTGTTGGGGTTGGGCGGCGCGGTAGAGAGGTAACACGCATGCGTGGCACCGAAACGAACAAAGCGGCGTCGTGACGCCACGTGGCGTCAAATAGCGGGTCACGAAGGTTCACGACGACAGTGGCGTCACGAAGACATGTGGCCTCGCGACGACACGTGGCGTCACGAACACACAGACTCCATGTAGCGTCAAAATGTGGCGTCACTGGCGTCGGTGCATGGCGTCGGTCAGCCTGCAGGCGTCGCCGGATGTGTCGTCAGGACGTGGCGACAGACACCCTGCAGGCTTCACGAAGACAGATGGCGGCACGCGGCCGTGGCGTCAAAACGTGGCGTCAGCAGCTCATGCACGTGGCGTCACGGACCCACGTGTCTTCAAAAAACCGGGCGTCAGAATGTGGCGTCAGGCACGGCGCAAGTATACGACGTCACGGGACGTGGCGTCAGAACGTGGCGTCAGGGGGTCGGGGGCTTCCAAGGATGTGTCGTCAGAATGTGTGTTCAGGCGCAGGGCGACATTCGCACCCCCACTAACGACGACCGCCCTGGCATCCCTGGTAGGTCGAAGCATCAACCGCGAGATCCAAAAGCCGCTCAGGCTCCCCATGGGCGGCGAAGTCGATGTCGATGGTTGTTTCGCCGACACCTCGTCGACCAGTGCCCATACCGTGGTCCAGCACTCTGCTCAGGCCCGCGAGTCGTCGCCCGGGACATGGCATCGAACACGTTCCGGGCGTCCACGCCCTGTTGGACGCAAGCACCAAAAAGCCGCCAAGATGCCGTTGACAGCCGGGTCATGCGGGGTCCTTCCCATAGCTCTTGAGGGCGACCCACCACATTGTCGATGAAGCCGATGGCACACGAGCGCGAGGACACGGGAGGACCCTCCACGACGCAGATGAAGGCCGGCCGGGCCGCGAAGGGCTCCAAGCGCTCCGACCGGACAACCCTGAAGTCGTAGAAGACGTAGTTGCCCAAAAACCACAAAGCCTTAGCCGCTGGTCGTGGGACCAGGTGCATGATGCCGCCGTCGTCGGCGTGGAACGAGGAAGGGAGCCCGTGACGATCCAGGGCCTACCCACGGCTTGGTCGAGGCAACCAACCGGCGCAGGCAACGCTGCAAGACCCGGATACGATCGGGGACCGCACCCTCAGCCAAGCTATTCAAAACATCCAGGACCTGGGCCAGCTTTGGGGCAATCCTGCGAGCACAATACGCTGTCCGTCTGCGCCAGCCACCCAAAAGACGGCGCAGAAGCGCGATCCAAGCGGAGCCGCCGCAGGTCGGCATCAGGCACACGGCCTTCGAGCTCTTCAAGAAGCGAACTGTTTGGCAATACCTCCTTGGCAAACCAAAGCCAAAGGGGCCACGAAGCCGATAAAGCCGCAGTTTCAGCCGCCCTGCAACACAGTGGGACGCACCCCCAAACGAAAGCCGATCCTGGTCAATCTGGACCAACATTTTTTGTTCCGCTGTGAAGGGAAGCTGCATGCCCTGGACGACATGTTGGGCGGGAGGCCAAGAAGTCAGCCGGAGAGGGTCGACATAAGAGACACCAAGTCGAGGACGCAGGGGTCGGTCTGTGTCTCGGCGTTGACGGGCTCAAGACTGCCAAGGAACCCAACGCCCGACCTGGGCGAGGGCTCCGACCGGAGTCTTGGGCACTGCGCAAGGCGGCCTTTCCACAAAAGGGGCGCCAGACGAGGCCACCATCAGGCGAGGCAGGGCGGCGGTCGAGTCCAAAGCTTCGGCGACCGCAGGAGTTTTTGTCCCTACACTCACATGTGCGCTACACCTCAAAGAAACTGCATGGGATATTCGACTGTCTTCTGTTGAGGCCAGCTGCCCGGCACTAAGCCCCCAAGCACGCCATCTCCTCCCAAAGCGGCTGCCAAGCGAAGGAGCCCAACATGGCCTAGACCCTGCAGCACCTCGCAGCGGCGTGGAAGATACCCAAAGCTTCATGTGTGAATTTGCAACCTACCGCCCATGAAAACCCGTATTTGTCATATGCGCAAAGGTCACATAGCTGCAGCTGCGGAAGAAATACCACGGATCGACCACGTTGTGACCTCAATGAGGAACCAATGTTTGCCCACGACCAACACACTGAACCCGACGTCATCAAATCTCACGTGGGTGCAACATGTGCAACTTGGTCCACCCCCGACCTCGGCCTCTGCGCCATCTCGATAGCTTTAGACACTGCCCTGCCCAAACCGAGGTCTGATGTGTCAAGCCCAATCCACTTGATCCGTGGCAACCCCAGAGCAATACCACGCAGAGGCGTCGGATAGCCGAGCCCCCACCCCACGTGAATAGACCGCCACCTGTCTGAGGCCACAGCGCCCGCATAGCCACACGGCCAGGCGGTACAATGCACCACAGATCACTTCCTGGTAGACATTGAAGCCTCACTTATCAGCAGCTACTCTTGTGAGCCTTACTGCTTGCTCTGAGAAGCAATTTGGCCCGCAAGCCCGAAGTGCAAAATTCCCCGATCAGGAACATGGAGTTCACGGCATCAGTGCAGAATCCCGGGTAGAGGACTGAGGGCCGAGCGCTTCAGCGCGTTGATGGTGTCGGGGGCTTCACTTCGGCGGTCGTAGAGACTGGACCCCAGCGCGCTGCCGAGGTCCGGTGCGGTCACAAACTCCTCCTTGCGACACGACCGAACCAGCAAGCAAAATGCTTCTGAAGCCCCTGGACACTCCCCGGAAGGTAGAGCTGCTTCGTAGTCGTGGAATTTCTGTAATGTCGCAACTGCTGCATGGAGCATGCGGGCAGTCAAGCCGCATAGTAAGAATAGTAGAATGCATTCCTTGGCTGCCATACACAGACGATTACCAACATGTCAAGAGACAGTTTCCAGTGGTCCGTCTGCATGTCCAAGGCTCTCGGTTTTGAGGAACGCTTCCTTCTGTTCTGCCACGGAAAGGCCCGTGGTGATGCAGTTGTATCCTGCACCACAGAGTTCCATCCATGCTTTCTTAGCAGAACAACAGCCAAGCCGGCCTGAAACTTCAACATAGTGCAGACAGCCAACCAGCAGCGAAACTGCCTTGTCCGATGCATGTTCACGGCTGGCTTTCGGAGTTGGCAGACGTAGTTTGAGACTTCAGGCGGGAGTCCCAAGCAAGCAGCAGCTCTGCGGACCGGAAGTCCATGCCACGGAACCTGGCAGGGAAGAGCTGCACTGCACGTGCCACACGTCGAAATCCAAGAAATGCCTGGTCCGAGCTGTCAACGATGCGACATGTGCAGAGTTCTCAGGGCTTGTTGTTGTCAACCTGCTTGCTCGCTGATATAATGAAGGGTGTAGAAATGCAAGGCTGCAGCGAGGAGCGAGTTTCATTATGCCGCGTTGCTCAAGTTGCTATGGCGTTGGACCTAGCAGCGGCTTGAGCCGGAGCTGCGAGAGGAATACACGCCGACAAGGCGTGTATGCGGAATTTGGCTTCGCATTCATACAACAAACGTGCCCAGCGGGCTGAGTGAAGGCTTCAATTCAGCTGACACTGGGACGCACCTGCAGCACGTCCTGTGTCCCCGCTGACTTCGGAGGTGCGGAAGGAATGTCGGGACCTTGAGCCCATACTGGGAACGCGAAAGCCTGCTCACTTCTGCCACTACTGCGGTCATGGCGGAAGTCCGGCTGCTTTGTCGACTCGCGCATACGGAAGAACCATCGACCATTGGGGTTCACACCTGATAGTCTTCTGGCTTACGGAAGCAGGCGCAGCGTTCGAGTCCCACACGGCGCATGATGACACAGGCTGCGTCGTTCTTGGCTTGCGGCGTTTGCCTTTCTGATTGGTGATGGCATGAATTGGCAAGTAGCAATAACCTCAGCTTCCGAAGGCGACCCGCTGCATCGACTGCTCGTGTGCATGCGATGTTTCATGAATCAGATTAGGCAAGGATCGCTCATAGATCTTTCCCACCTCGCACACAGGAACACATGAAACACCAAGAGTCCGCAGGTCAACACACCAACATCTGGAGCAAACTTGCAGCCGGAGAACAGAGATGCCACTGTAACCGGCCATAGCTCCGTGCACTGCCATTTGCCCAAGCACCGAGCAGTAGGTGCTGTCGAAGGAATTGGCCGGAACCGAGCGGATCCTGGGCAGATGTTTCCAACAAGCATGTTGGCCCGGCCACGAATCCTACGGATCCTTCGGCAAGGCGCACTCACACAAGCTAATCTTCAGCAAGTCTCATGTACGTGGGATCAATGTACTTGATCGTGAGCGGCAAGCCCAAAGACTTGAAACGGGCGGTGATGGTATCTTTCAGCCATGGCCCCACATCTGCAAGGACTTTGTTGCCACCTGTCTGTAGAGGCAGCACGAGCTCAGCCAGCATTGCGGTATTTCTGTGTTGAGATGTGCGGGAACGGCTTTGTCTGTTTCGGTGCTATCCCCTTACTTTCTTCTGAAGGTGTGCGGCCAGCACCTGGCACTGACCAACCATGCACCGAGCCTGCATCCGTCGCCCCAGAGCTTTGGATCAACGTGTCGCCACAGCCCTCTGCCACCACGATCACGGCATGGCCCTTCGTGCGCATCAGGTGCTCCGTATGGTTCAATACCTCTGCAAAGCCAAAAGCTGGACTTGCAGGCTGTTGCAACACTCACGTGTATCGAACAGTTTGCAGCAATCGGTACAAGCACAATCAATTCCGGCCTTCTCTAGATCAATATCCATCTCGGGGATGAGACCTGAATTGATACGTGCATGGGGAGGCGAAACAAGCCGTTGCTGTCGTCGAGGGCTGCAGTCCCTCAGCCTGTTCTATCTCGCGGCTGGGGAGCATATGTCGACGTTGCGTGCGGCCAGGGCAGCATTCATGGCGATGAAGCCACAGTGACGCCCCATGAGCTTGACAAGACCAATGCAGTTGGCCTTGGCAAGAACGATTGTTGCCGCCCACCCTCGCGCGTGCTCTTTCCATTGCAGCTTGCTGCATCTGAGAGTCGTTACCCCTTGCCTCAACGTACCTTTGCTTGAGGAAGCTCTTGGCCTTCCTACTAAAGACAAGCACATCTCAATTAAAGAACAGCTCTTCCTTGCGAGCAGCGCGGAGTTGACAGCTTTGGCTGCCTCCGTGCATGCTGTGTCGAAGCCGAAGGTCTGGTCAACCATGGGCACGTCCTGGACAAAAGGCGGCTGGTCTGCAATTTCCCCAAAGTTCCGGAGGCTAGCTGAAGCCGGGTCTCGTTGTCGATTGTCTTCGGCACACCGACGACTGCGCACTCATGATCAATCTCCTTGGACTGCAAGATCACTCAAGCAGAGGGAGTTTGGAGCTGGGAGAGCAGCGTGGGCGAGAGCTAAAGCGAGAGCGAGCGCGAGAGAGCGCGAGAGAGCGAGAGAGCGCGAGAGAGCGCGAGAGAGCGCGAGAGCGAGAGAGCGCGCCAGAGCCAGAGCTAGAAGCCGGCTCTAGCTCCTCCCACTCATTCCAGGAAGTGATTGTTACAGCTTATGTACAGTATCACGACCTTCACAGGTCAGTCTCTTCGCGGGCCTGTTGGCGACAAGACAATTCAATCTGGGATCCCATGTCAAGCTGGGGCAGTACCAGAGAACTGCATGACTGCATGCTGGCTTCCGCTCCTTTTTTCAGTCAGACGTGCAGCCTGCCTTCTTTCAGCGATCTCCTTCCGCATCGACTTCACCTCATCTTTCTTCTCGCCTTCCAGCCTTTCCAGATTTGCCCAAAGATCCTGATCTACTCGGGCCTTCAGCGGTTCCAGCGCAGTCATGTGGAACACAGACCGTGGGATCAAATAGCCCACAGGCAGCAGGGCCACGACGGCGGCCGGGTCTCCTTCACCCAGCATAAGCTGCTTGACAGCTCTCCGCACAACTGCCAGGCTCACCGTCGCTCCACTGCTTCTGGTGCCGAAGGCCGCGGCCATCCCGGCCTCCTCCACTTCAGGGAATTGCAGGCTCACGCCTGGCAGACCCTGGGACCGCCGGAGCCGTGCCAGCTCATCAAGATAACAGTTTGCAGCCGCGTAGTTGTGCATGCCCTCGGAACCAATGCCGCCAGAAAGCGAGGAGAAAAACCACATGGCCTCAAGGTCGTCATGCTGTGTGTGCTTGTGCATATTCCAGGCGCCCAAGCACTTGGGAACAAACACGGCTTCTAGCTTCTCGGGCTCGTTGGGAAGAACTATTCCAGCTGCATTGACCACCCACCGCAGGTTGCCATGCTGCTTACGCAGTCGGTCCAACATGGACACGACTTGCTTCTCATCTGCGGCATCGCAGGCCTCCAAGATGACGGATGCCGACTGCTGTAGCTTCGCCACACGCTCCACCAAATTACCTGGTGCTGTGGCCGAAATCGCACCTGAGCGCGAGGAAAGCACCACACAGCGGACTCCAGCATCAACCATTGCTTCGGCAGTGGTGATGCCGAGCCCACCGGTGCCTCCGGTAATGAGTGCCACTCCCTCGCTTGACACCGATCGGTTGCTCACAGGGGGGCGCTGACCACAAATATCCAGTTTGGGCAAGAAGCGGCGGCTTTTGCGGTACGCAACCTCGCGACCGGTGTAAACCAAGGACCTCTTGCCGAGATCGGCAGTTAGAGATAGCTCGGCCTCGACCTGCCTCTGCAGCTCCTCCGCCTTGCCTGGAATGCCTAGGGCATCAGTGTCGATGTGCAGGATGGGAAATGAAGGATGCTCTATCCGAAAACATCGGAACATTCCCCGCAAGCATGCTGCAGCAGGCATGCCGAAGCCGTCGTCCTGTGCCCCGGCACAATCCGGGCCATGTGCCCCACATGTTAGCGCAACGATCCGCAACGGCGCAGACAAAGCCCCGGCTTCGTTGAGAAAGTGAAAGATTTCAAGTGGAAGTGCCGTTAGGCTCTGGCTCTCATCCTTGGCCTGGGCCGTGACCAGGGGAAGGACAACAACATCAAGCTCACCGAGCGTATGAGCAATGCTTCCGGCTTTGAAATTGAATCGCTGGCATCCCATCTTCTTTTCCAGTACTTGTTTGACCTCGTGTGTCCACGTACATCCGGGGAAGTGGATGACGGCCATGTTCCGTTTGTTGTCCGTCATATGCACTTCCGCGAGTGGTGCTGTGGCATGCCACAACCAATCGCATAAGCAAGGCGGTGTGAATCCCAAGAGCCTTTGCAGGGCGACGTCACTCCACGTAGCAGTCTCCTGATATGCCGGGACCCTACGTGTGACAGCGCTTAGCCACTCGCATGTCAACATACCATGCTAAACCTGCCAAACATCTCCGGCCCATCTCTCACATCATTGGAGGGGTTTCGGATCAAGGAATGATCCTGGTTTCAATTCTCGTTTTACTCAAATGCCAAGGCTCAGGGTGCTCAGTTCTGCTCTCAGCCTTCGGTGGGCACCGTGCGACATCGGGATCTGCCCGAGGTGCTAACACCAGGTAGAGAATTTGCCTCTTGCCTCACCGAACACCAGGGCAACGAGGCGAGACAGCTTTCCGAACTGTAGGCAGAAGGTAACTAGCAGATCCATAAACAAATGTGCAGGTAGCCATGTCGCACAAAGATCCTGCATTTGTGCGTGCTTATTCAGTCTGGCTAAGGACCTACTGCAACATGGAATTCACTATGATCGCTTGTCGTCTGAGCTGCTACACTCTGCCAGAAGCTTCTGACCTTCACCTCTGACGTCGTTGACTTGCACCACTTTATCACCAGGGCCTATAGAAGCGTCCCCTGGGACGGCGGAATTCCAGTCGGCAACCAGACCATGCGTCAGCACCTCTTGCACTTCGAAGCCACTCAGAAAGGGTCGCACCTTCATCCCGAGAGGCTTCTTCTCAGTCCTGCGGTCCAGGACCACCCTCCTCTGCACTGGGCGACTGCGGCGGGGAGGAAAAGCCGCACGCCGACTTGCGCGCGGAGCAAGGACTGCCTTTTCCTCAGATACAACGGACAGCGCGTCCTCGGCATCCTCTCCGTCTGCCCAATCGAAGGAGTACTGCTCGGCTTGTGGAAGCTCTCGGGATGCTGCCTCTGTCGCTTCGAGCAATTCTTTGGCCTCAGGCATCTCGGGATTCCTTTCCAACGCATCTGATAGGTCACCACGCGCGGCTTCGAGCTCACCCAGTCGAAGGTGCAGGGATGCAAGCTCCAAAAGACGCGCCGCATCACGAGGAGAGCCAGGTTCCCCACCCAAGCCTGACGGAAAGGCTAGATCGAAATTTCCGTGCCTCGTGATCTGCTGCTGGAAGCTTCTGTGCTGACGCTACTGCGCAGCACTGACACTGTATGCGGTAAATCGAAAGCAAAAAGGGCAATGCCCGGGAAAAGTAGGCGACGGTAAGGGCATCTACGAATTGGCACTTAGACTTTAATGCCTTTGCCCAAACCAGGGCAGATGCAAGATATGCAGAAGGAGACCATCATCGCTTTAACCCTGCCCTTTCATTACAAACATGGAAACGCAACGACGTTTATGTCTCAGTTCCCAGTGCTCATCTCTTCCATTCGTTGCTTCAGCACCGAGAAGCTACGAGATGAAATAAATCGGATGGGGATTTGAGACTCTTGCTGATTTCGCCGTTGCGTCCACACTGACAGGAAGCGGGCCCTGCAAGCAGTCTAAGCTCAAAGAAAGCCGATGACACTCGACCTGCGCTTCAATATCTGAAGTCAGACGTCAGTCTAAACCTCACATAACATGAGGCTTGCTTAGACAGCAGTTTTCGGAGTTTTCTGCAAGACCCGCCCTCACATTTGTAGGCCGAGGAGCAGAGCTGCTCCCAGCGCTTCCGCGCCAGCTGCGCTCGGAGGCCGGCAGCTTCCACCTGGTGGAGAGGGGGCCGCCCAGGCGGCGCGGGCCGCCGCGTGTCGTCGACGCTCACTTGTGCAAGGTCCTGAGTGTCCAGTGCTCCCCCCAGAAGAGCTTAACTTCGCTCGCGCTGCCGCCCATTGCAGACAGAGGGGCATAGCCGAGGTTGGCCAGCATGGCCAGCTGCAGTTCCAGCTGCTGCACCAAGGCCTGCATGGCGAGAAACGAGTGCAGAGCTTTATCCCGTCTTGTCGGTCGGCCCTTGGCCTGTCCAAGCGACTCCTTGCGAGCGAGCCCTGCAAACTTGCGGGCGGTCTCCATCAAACCAGTCCTTACCCAACGACTCAGCTCTTGAAGTGGATATGGAGAAAAAAAAACACGGCAGGGAAAGCAGAAGTGCCAGAGATGCCAAGCTTCGCCATAGCTTCCAAGGCCCAATCTCTCAGAGACTCGCGCTTCAGCTCCGACGGCTGCGGCTCTTGCGATGGAGCTGTCTGCTTGAAGGATCCCAAACGCTTCAGCCCGGCCTGCAGCTGAGCTTTGCAACCGGATAAGATCACTTGTTCGTCAGCACTGGCTGGGCACTACTCGCTTGGGAAAACCTTCGTACAAGTCGTCACGCATGTTTTCATGCACTCCCGTCCTCTGCCGCGCGTTCCAACATCTGCCTCTCCCTCTGCAGCAGGTCGAAGCAAAGCGCATCGGTCCGCGGGCTTCCATCATAGGCTCTGCTTCTCATGTTCTCATCGGTTGGGTACTGGGCCAGAGCTGCGTGGATTTCATTCACCAGAAACTGTAAGCCGCGCGATTCACACGCCGAATCTTCCCAGACACCCTCCCAGGCACACTCGTTCATCAGGATGTCTCTCTGTTTGCTGGAGTCTGCAAGTGCAGCCATTCCGAGAATCTGAAGGCACGGACCCGGCGGCAAGGGTCGGTCGTTGCAAATGTACACTCGGAGCAGCAGCTCATCGTCAAGTCCGCACTCAACTGCTGAGAGCTCCTCCAAGGGGTTCGGAGCCATGCACAGGCCAGGTATGTTCCATGTTGGCGAGGCACTGCGAAGGGCCTGTCCCAAGGACTCCTGCAGCTGAAAGAAGAACACCGCCTTCTCGTCCGAATCTTCTCTCATGGAATCCGTACGCAACTCAATGCTAAGAACGACACCTTCCCAAGGAAACTTCTCCGGATCAACGGTCCCGCGATCCAGCAGAAACCCGCTTGCTGCCAGCTGCGCGCCGGATGAGACAAGCATGCCGCCATGCGACAAAAAGAATGCCTCTCCACATTCATAATCCTTGCCCGCAGCAACAATCAGAACAGGACCGTTCTGAGTAGAAACGAGCTGGACGGCATACGGATCAGGAGCGGCTTGCGTTTCTGTGGGCAGAAGTTCGAAACCGGGGACCAACAACTGCATGGGTACTGACGGATGTTCTCCAAGGATCTTCAACCCAAGCTGCTGCAGGGCTTCTCGTCCCCATCTAAAGCTGGATTCCGTGACTCCCAGAAACCTGCAAATCTCAGGCCCGAGGTCAGATCGCAAATCAGAGTAGTCAATTGTGATTTGCTGCCTCCTTCTGCAACCTTCCTCCCACCAGAAGCTTGGACGTAGAATTTCCATGTCTTCTTGAGGCCACGAGGTCAACATGCCGGTAACTTCTTTAAGACGCTCGACATGGCGACGCATCGAAGCCAGCTGCCCGTGATTGTGCGTGTACAGTATGTGCAACACAATCCATGTCGAGTCGCGACTCAGGAGGAAGCTGTCGGGATTCCGGCGCAGAGCTTTCGCCAAGGCCGTGCTCACGTCTTGGCAACTTTGCTCAACCGCTTTTTTCGTCCAACACTTCGTCAGTGGTATCGCCAACAAAGGACAGCCTCGCCGCGTGGCTTGTGCACAAACGATACGGCCTGCGGTGTCACATTCCAGGTTGTTGAAAGTGTATCCCAGTTCGGAGAACGCTTGCTGGAACAATGCGGGGTCCATCAATCGGCTGTCCAACACCGGAGGGATCAAGCTGCCATGAAATCATGCTATTGCTCTTGCTAAGCACACTGACGCAAAACATCTGCCTAAGCGATAACCTTGTACTCACGACCAAAGCATGCACTGGTCGCACCACCCTTGATCTTCAGTTCACTATATGGCACATGAGGCAGGTCCAGGAACGAAAGGAGAAGCTACGAGAAGCCGCTGAACCAGAGCTGAACTTCCTGTTGCTTTGGGTCTCTCATGACCCCACACTTGGAGAACTCTCATCCAAGATGCCATCATGCCGTTGAAGGTCTGCATGGCCCCCTTGTGCGTTCCATCACCACCTGTCATCGAAAGGACAGGGCGGAGAACGCGGAATAATAGCACAAAAACAAGAGAACAGTAATAACGCCAACCGCGCACGCGCGCGCGCGCGAAGCGCGCGCGAAACTGCAGAAGCAGTAGCACCACCGCGGTTTAGGAGCCGGTAGTAGTCGTCATCGTAGTAGTATGGTCGTAGAGGTAATCGTATTAGCAGCAGCAGCAATCAGTAGCAGTAGCAGCAGCAGTAGCACCAGCACTAGCACTAGCAGTAGCAGTAGCAGTAAAAGCAGCAGTAGCAGTCAAAGTATGGGCAAAACGCCAAACGCACCCCAAACGGATCCCACACAGACCCCAGAAGGACCTAAACGGACACGAAACGGACCCAGAACCGACCCGCAAACAGACTTCCATTTGCAAACGGACTGAAAGATGGACCCGCAGACTTAAAGCGCTTGTATTTGCTTTTTCACATCGTCCCAGTGTTTAACCGAACCAGATTTTCACAATTTTCACAAGTCTGCAGCAATGCTACCCATCTCACCTCTGCACTAGTCCCCTCAGCATGCCAGGGTCCACCCAGCACGAAGTACTGTCGGATGTTCTTGCTCTGCAATGCCCTGGCCATGTCCTCAGCCCACCGACAACAACGAAGAACAGTGGCTTGGAATCCCGCTCGGATTCGCAACATCTGAATCACGACGTGGGTTTAGTTGTGCCGGGCTTCACCCAAATATGCACTCGGGAGCACCTGCCTTTGCAGAGAATATGCTAACCATTCTGGCCAACTTCTCAGCATCTCGAGCTAACTAGACTCTTACATCTCGCTCGGGCTATTGCCAGGCTGACTGTGCAAGATCTAAAACATGAACCGCGCATCACCAAGTCACGAAGTCATGCCGGATAGCCTTTGCAGACAAGTCTCCAAGTGGGGAGGGTTGCCTCTGTCACTTACGAGCATTGTGCCACCTTCCGTGTGTATGTCCTGCAGAACTAGAACTTCTGATGGCTCATCCCAACTTGCCCTAAGCCCATCCTTAGCTGTGGCCGCTCAGTCCTTGACAACCTCGGGGTTGAGCTCCAACCTCAATACGGTTGGCGCTAATCTGCTGGCCTCTGCAACACCGCGAGCACCCCTTGCCGAGCAACCACGTGTCTGGCTCCAGAATTCCCTTGTAGCCGCCTTTGATGCCGTAGATGCGACGCACGCCATAGGCCCACAGGGTGTTGACAATCTCGCGGATGACACCTGGAGCCCAGAGTGCTTCTCCAAAGACTGGAGAGTCAGCTTGCGGCGCTCTGGGGTGGTTTTGGTGGTTTTGCCAAGGCACAGTTGAGGCCAGGGCAGATCCCGCCACAGCTGATGATGGCAGCAGCCGATGCTGGGTCGTGCGGATCAAAATGCAAAAACTCGCGCGGACCTGCGCGAGTCCTTGGCTGAGAGACTGAGAGACATCTCTCCATCACATATACAGCTGTTGCACACTGAGCCCCATGCATTTTGAAGTACGGGACCCCTCTGCCAGAGTCCAAACCTTGCCGTTCCCCACGTAGCTGTACTTCATGATCCCATGCATTCAAGTGCAGGCCGCGCTCGGCCCCCGACGATTTCCGAGGAACAGGGCTTGAGAAGTCCACGAGAAGTTGTCACTGAACCTCAGTGAAAGGCGGCAGTTGCGCGCCATGGGCATCCACGACATCACGTCTCAGACCCAGACAGCCTGACACCCTTTAAGGTGGATGGGATGTCAAACGTCCCATAGCGCTCACCTTAGCCAAAGACCACCCAGGCCATGTCAACGGAAGGAAGTCTGCAAAGAAAGCATCAACGCTTGTCGCAACTGGCTACCAGCATCTGTCACACCTTCGCAAACCAAGCGGCTCAGATTGAAACATTGAAGGGAGCGTAGCTCCGTGCTGTCCTGCACTTCTCAGCATAAACGCAGAACACGAACCAATTACTTGTGCCGCGAAGGTATCAGGACGCGAGATGACTAGGCATAGCGTCTACATATCGGATTTGTGATTTGGTCGTTCACGTCAGAACCGTCCTGTATGAGGTCATCTCTGGCCAAAGGCCGACTTTCCCGGACCCTCCCGAATCCTGAGCTTGCATGGAGCGGACATGCAAGAAACATCGCAAACCCTTTCTTGCATCTTGCCAGGACACCGTCCATGATGGTCAGCGTCGTGTCTGGAACACGAAGCGTATCGGACTTCTCCAAGTCGTCTATGCTCTTCCCCCTTGTCCCTTGGACAGCAGCTTTCAAGCCAATCAATGCTCATAGACATGTGGTAAAAACTCTCCCCGCCCACCACCCCCCGCATGCTGATGTTGTTCTTGAAATTGTTGTTGCGCGCACGATCCCTCGCTGGAACGATCACGAAGGTGCACAGCAGATAACCTAGAAGGACGGAAAGCCTCTAGGCTGAGCTTTGCATGCACCCTAACAGAAGGAGGAAGGAGAAAGGAAACATAGGCGAGGGTCTGAGACTCCGAGAGAAAGCGACAGCGAACGGACAGCATGCCACAAAGCAGGCATCAGGACATGAGACAAATGATGCCAAACGCGGCTGAGCAGCAGGTATGAGGGCCGGCACGTCGGGACCGCAGCAAGGCTTGCTTTTTCGTAGGATCTATGGGCTTGGCCGCGGCATTGCCGACCCACTCCTCGGACGAACAGAAACAAAATAAGCGAAAGTTCAGACTTTTCTACCTGGCTTTGCGTCAAGCCGCAAGATTTGGCTGTTGCGTCGTGGTTCGCAGGGCTTCGAACCATCGGCCATTGATGTCGACAACGCGGCTGGGCATCGAGGTCTCGGCCATGTTTTCGGATGCACGGTTACAGTGCGAGAACGGAGTTAAGTCACACCAGTTCTGGCTGCAGCAGAGTCACGAGCATCTTGATGGGAAGGTACACGACCTGTACAACAATTCTAAGCTGGAGCTCGGAGGGGAGGGCCAGGATTTGGAATTGCGAGAGGATGCTGGCTGCGCGAGCTCCCGCCTGCTGATCGACCTTGCCCACAGTTGCACCTGTGTAGCCGGCCATGGCAGCATGCACGGCTGCCTGCGCCAGCTCCGAGCAATAGATACCTCAGATTCCACAGGCGTCTTCATCCTGCAACTCGCTTAGAGCAACTGGCCAGGCTGCTGTCATTGGGATTGGCAGGCACTGCACGGACCTGATGCGAGCAGTTGCAGACTGCAAAACGTTCTATTTTCCATAGGGTGCATCCAGCCAGAGCTCAGCCTCGGATTGTGAAAACTACTACCCCAGGGGCGGCACCATGTAGGTCGGGTCCACGTACTTGATGGTAATTGGCAGCCTTGGAAAGCAGAGAAGGATCAGACATTCAGGTGTCCTTGCGTCCATGCCACTAGCACTATAAATGCCGGAACCAGGGTGCTTCAAGGTTTTGAAATGCGACGTGATGGCATCCTACGGGGAGTCTTGCACAGACCCACATCTTCGGCCTCTGACAACTTCTGCTTTCCTACTCATACTCATTTCCGGCCTTCAGCCACGGCCCGACATCGTTGATCTTCTTGTTTCCACCTTCGTCAATTGCTCCTCGCCAGTCAGCACTAACAGAGGCCCTGCCGTGGCAAGCAAGCATCGCGCACTCAGTGTTCCGAACTCTCCTGAGCTGTGAAGCAGTGTGTCTCCACAGCCTTCCGCGACCACGACCACCTCAATTCGAGCAGAGGGTTGAAGCTCTCCCCCGCACAACTACAGTATAGGCACGCTCCTGGTCCGAGCATTGCGCAGCTTTTCCTATGATATAAAGGCGAGCGACCAACTTACAAGTCACCCCCCCAGCACAACTTGTTGCATGCAAGCCGCGGCATACCCACTTGTGCTTACAAGTTCTACGCAATGATCGAGGACCTTCAGGGGAGTTCGGAGATTGAAGACATCAGAAACAAGCTTCGTGCTGTTGCCTGCATCCCATCGGGACTATACTTCTGAAGATATCTTCGGAAGCATGTCCGGAGGTCCACCGGTCAAGCTGCCACCAATTAGCCTTACTTAGCCCGCCGCTCACCTTTTCGAGGTTTATGTCCATCTCCGGGAGTAGGCAAATGTCGACGTGACGAGCAGCCAAGACCGACATCATTGTCAAGTAACCACAGTGCCTGGCCAGAACATGTGCGAAGATATGTCAGGCAAGCTTCGCTAAATTCACTGGCGGTACAAACATCGAAGTGTGGGTGTCAGACATCAGATCGTGGAGCTAGCCCAACTGTCGACGTGCCCAGTTGCCCAACCACTGTCTACCATGGACATGCCGCATTGAGGAGAGGCTCCTGCCCATGAGCTTCACCAGGCCAATGGCGTTTGCATTGCACGTGGCTTCGACGTACGCGACTTCTATGGCCTTCTGTGCTTCCGTCCTTAGCTGAAGCAGCTCTCGAAAACGACGAAGATTCAGTCCGGGGAGTTACAAATATTGACTGACTTTTTGTGTCCGTTGCTGTGCGGCATCAACCTTGCAGCAATGCAGCGGCACTGTGTGGCCAAGGTTCATGGCTGTGTCGAACCCGAAGCTGCGGTCCTGTCGGTTCGGTGTCAAGCGTTTCGAGGCAACACCCTGTTCGAAACAACATGTCACCAGAGCAAGTCCAGTAAATTGATGTCGTTGTCGATTGTTTTTGGAATGCCGACGACGGCACACTCCCAACCTTAGGCCAAGCGAGGCGATGCCAGGCAGATTTTGGCAACCGACAAGCACTTCTCGCGTGACACTGTTCGCCTAACGGAGACCATGCACCAGTCACGCTTCCTCCAAGGACCGGGCCGATCGATTGCATTTGCTCGTACGTCTGGTACGCACCTTACGAATGACAGAGCTGGAGTCGTCTGGCAATGCCTCGGGACGTGGCGCTGTACACAGGCCTTTTTGTGTACCGTCTCCGCCCAAGACGAAGTGCTGACGCACACCACGCTTCTTCAAGGCTTTCGCCTCACCCGGCATGGTTTACGCCAGAGACGGTGGCATGTTCCCGTGAAAGGCCAAGTGCAAGGAAGTTGAGCACCCCAGGAGTCTGGCCATCTCCATGTGAGGAGGATTCCCACGATCGCTCACGAGGATTGACCCGCCTTTGCTTCAAGATCCCGAATCGGAAGGAATGTCGGTCAATGAGGGCTAATGTTAATGTCTTGACGAGGAGCCCTGCAAATGAATATCCTTCACATTCTCGGGCGTCAATGTGACCCAGCTCTGTGGATTCACGACACCTGGCACATGAAACTCGAGCAAAATTGCTTTCAGAAGCATTGACGAGACCCGGGAAGGCAGGGAGCATGAGCCTAGTCTTGTGAGTACTGGTGAATACAGGGTCTCGGATCAAGCAGTCCCAATGCTGTATAGCCGACGACCCCAGTGCTCCATGCAATGGCCCATGCTTTATTGGGAAGTCGCGGCATGTCAGAGCAGATCACCGAGGACAATTTGAAGGCTCACGTCTCCATTGCAGTGTCCATTCTCAGGCAGTTTGGGAACATCTCGTTGAAGGCTCTTCGCGAACATCCACAGCGACGCTTGGGAGTTAGCTTGGTCATACACAAGCCTTTGATTCGCCACCTAGGTGAGCTCTCCTTGAGGCCGAACCGAATTTAAACTTCGCGACTTGGGAGCCACTTTCTCCTACGCTGGAGTCGTTTCGCGGGGGCGTGAACTCTTCCGGAGCCCGAGCGATGTCGAGAATGAGTTTCATTCAGGTCGGTTGCACGATGGCCCAACAGGGAACACATGCTGCATTCAGCATAGCAGCGGCTGCTGGGATTTATTCTGCCTTGAGCATGGCATACAACCTAATGGCCAGCTGCCTTCGGCCATGGCGATTGATGTCGGGGATTACGGCTTCGTTGCCTCTTTCAGGGTGTCCCATGCAAGTGCACCGGTGCCGCGCGCTTTGATGGTCGGCGATCTCTTCGGCTGCGTCCAGGTCAGTACTGCTTGCTGGGAATCCTCCTGCCTCGAGTGTGGCACTCGGCCCGATGGACGGATGCCCAACAGTGGAGATGGTTGCAAAGGAGGTTCAGTATCCTACTTGGGTGGTCCGCTGCTAGAGCGATTGCTACTCGACAATGGGAAGTACAACACGCTATCCTTGTGCATAGGGTGCTGCCAGCCGTTTTGGTTGGGAGGGGAAGCCATCACAAGTGAGGTGGTGACTACGGGTGCCACCGTTGACGCCGTAGCTGTAGAGTGCCCGTTTCCTGGACGGTTAGTTTGACTGCTTTCGTGGTAGCGCACGGAGCAGTTTTTTGTTCATCCGGGTTAAAGGTTCTGCCTTCTTAGGATTCCTCGTTTAGGATTTGTATGTGGGTGGAGACGTTTCTTTATCCAGCCGGTTACATCTCCTCCACTTTGGGTTTCCATTGATAGATTTCTGCGCCGCGCCTCCCAACGGCAGGTTCGAGTGCATACTATCACGGTGCCCATGTTCAGAATTCGTTCGTGTTTGTTTGCAATAGGGACCTCCCTTGGACCTTTCGCCTGCCCGAAAGGAAAAAAAGACTGGTGAGTACTGTGGGGAAATCCAGGCTGCGAAAGGGCGCGGGAGATGCACGGACTGCATGTGTGTGGGCTGCACTGTGCAGGGGGTGGGGAGGGAGCGCAGCAGCAGCCAAACATTGCTGTGAAAGAGCGAATAGGCGACAGAAAATACACCGTCCGCATGCTTGCAGTTGGACCTTTGTCTCCACACTGCAAATCCGATGGCCGGCCTTTGAAACCCCCTTTGATGCCGTACACCTTCTTGACACCATAGGCGTACAGCATCATGACCTCGTCGCGACTGGTGGCTTCGGCCTTTGGCTGGGCTTGTGCTGGGCCCAACACCAACTCACGGATGACAGAGTTCAAGCCAGGACATAAGCCACCACCTTCGATTTCGATGGTGTGCTGTTTCAACAAAGGTGCTTTTAGCTTTCAAGGTCCAGGCAGGTGACGATGGTGGCTGCGACCTCCGACGGCCTCGGTCAGGGGGTTAAGCAGGTGCAAGCGTCCAAACTTCGGCGACCAGGACCGGGGCTTGAAGTACAGCTTCTTTCGTGGCCCAGCCTACGAGCACCGCACTCTCTCCCCCCCCCCCCCCCCCCGCCCCCCCGCCCGCATGACAGCGCCGAAAATTTAATGAACCACCGAGCCATGCCTTCAGCATCTGCAGGCGCACACCGGGAAGGCCGAGTGTCTGAGTGACCTGGGCATGCTTTCCATGAGGCATCTTGCACGGGAGCGCTCTGAGACTGAGACCCAGGAAGCTTCATCGAAGAAGCAAACCCTGCCTCCTTTCACCTCCGAGGCACTGCATACAAGAGTGCTCAGCTTTGCGCCTTTCCAACGTCGTACACTGCAGGCACAGACAGGGCTTGATTACGGAGTTCTATAGCAGGATCATGCATAATTTTCCCTTGAGACACTGTGGGGCTGCTGCGATAGTTACAGGACGACCAACCTACGAAGCCCCAAAACGCCCCACCTGCTCAATCAGCGTTGTCGGCTCCGACTGGTCACCAAACTTGAGAGACAGATGCTCCAGCTCAAGACGCCGAACCTCCACGTTGCAGTGAGAGGAGCCAAGACAACAGCAGATCGTGCAAAAGAAGTCATGCAGGACGAACACCCGGCCGACAAGACACACGTGCCCAGCGAACCCTCCTCCGCTGGGTGCTCCGATTCAAACAGTCATAACTTGTACGGCTTGACAGTTTCAGAAACTGGCCACTCCATGATCAATCAATTCCGCCTACCGGTTGTGACGTGCCAGGATCCCAAGATTTGTGGGCAAGCGCGGAATCAGAGGCCACCGGTCCGCATATCACTCCATCAACGGCCCAGGCGGCCACAGTGGGCATGTGCCAGAAGGGCCCGCCCCCGCCTCGCATCCTTCTCCGATCGCGCCGATGAGCTCGACCGGCTCTGAATCGTGCAGCAGTGGATTCTCCGCCTTGGTCCCAGCGTGCTCGCATCTGTCTGTGGACGCTGGTCTACTCTTTTCTACTCTCGTCGGGACTCTGGCGGGGATCGGTGCCTGATCCACCCCCTCCTCGGCACCTTCTGGCGCCAGGTTCGGCTGCAAAGTGGAGCTCACCAGCTCCTGGAACCTGCACGAAGCCGTGCATGTGGAACGATAAAGAGCACGGCCCAGGATCTGGCAGCCTTTGACCCTTGAGGTCAACTCGCTTCCTGCATCGATGGAACGGGCTCTGCTGTGTTGGCGGGTGCAAACTTGCTGCAGGTGAGATGCTGCGGATTCTTCGTAACGCAAGCAATCGGCAACAAGACTTGTCTGCTGCTGATCTGGCCTGGGCGTTCACTGCATGTGAAATTCTGTCAAGCCGTACTTGGCTGGAATCCGAATCTCGGCCGCGGGCCCACAGTAATTCCTGTGTATCCCGCCATGGCGGCATGCACCGCGTTGTGGCTCAGCGAGGAACAGTAAACGCCTGCTCCGAGAGTTTCTCTGTTCAGCTTGGATTTCAGCAGCCTTCCGCCTTCCGGTGAAAACAAGTGCGAATTGAAGCCAGGCCACTGTCGTTTGCATTTGGCCCGATGGCTCGGATCATGTAGGTTGGATCGATGTACTTGACCTCTGTTGTAGGAAGATGTGGCAACAGAGGCTGGTACTGCCATCCAAACCACCACCACCCACACCACCACCACCAGACCAACAATGTTAATAGCAGCTAACACCACAACAACAGCAGCAAGCAAATGCCACAGAAAAAGCTGCATCAGGCTAGAGGCTGTCAGCGGCAGCTTCACCTGACGAGGCTCTCTGCATGCACCCCGACTCCGGACTAAGCAAATGCGCACTGCTGGTTCGCATCCCTGTGGGGCACTTTTGCACAGACATGATCTGACGACGCTGGCCCCGGCCTGCTTGAAGCGTTCCAAGAGCTTGTCACGAAGCCAAGGTCCCACGTCAGCAAGCTTCTTGTTGCCGCCGCCTCGGCATGCGACAGAGTCAGGAAATGCCTGAACTGACCGAGCCATGTCAACACTAAATACAAGTACGGGCGAGACATCTTTTCTGTTTTTCTGTCGTTTCGGGCTGTCCAGCCGTGACCTGTCTGGCTCCTGCGGAGTGCGGCACGAGAGGGGTCATCCAGAGCCCTCAAAAAGACGACAGCGCTCTGCAGGTCGGCAGGTAACGGGACATCAGCCTCCAGATTTCCATCGCCAATATCAAGCTCCAGGTGGCTGGAATGCAGAAAGATGCGCTGACACCAGGCCACGGCACTGCCTCCATAAGCCGTGTCCCCAAGAAGCGCATGACCACTTTCTGAAAGATGTGCTCGAATTTGGTGCTGCCGACCTGTGAAGATCTGCACTCTGACGAAGCTTGCACAGGATTCTTCCGGGGTCATGCAATGGGAGGCATCGAGTATCATTGTCGAGCTTTCTCTGCCTCCCAAAGCATCCGCAGCCACAGCCACTGACCTGCGGGTATCGGTGCCTTCTACAAGCTGGCGCAGAGCAACGGCGATCAGGTGTGGACTGCGCTTGATCAAGCCCTCGCTCAAACAAAGGTACTCCTTTCGCAAAGTTTCGCGAGCAGCCAAAGCTAGTCGTGCCGCATAGTATCCACTGTAGCTACTCGCCCACAGCAAGCCACCAGACGTCATCTTGTCAAGCCTGTGAACGAGCCCGTGGGATCTTTTCGCGTCCAGCACGATCTTGTTGGTTTTGCCAAACGCGCGTACTAGCCAGGAACTGATGTCCTGATCCATGGAGTTCAGCCCTTCCATCTGGTCGGTGTCGGTACGCCTCGGTGCTTCTGCGGAAGAGTCAAAGTCGTCACGGCCGACCACCACTGACCACCCGGGAGGCTTCCAAAGCACACACAATCGCGACTGCGCATGCAACACACATGGCTCTTCGGGAAGTTGCCCAGCTCTGGCGCATTCATTGAAAGAGACTTGCTTAACACCGGAAACCCTGGAATCACGAGCTGCTGCCCAGCATGCAAGAACCTCGTCCACTGCCTGGCGAAGATCTATTGCGGCTTGCCGCTCCATCATGTCGGACATGCTGCTAGCTGCGATCAACATCTCCATATCCGCAAAACACACGTCACTGTCCATCTCATCCTGTCTGAAGTTTCTCGTGCCTGCCACAGCAGCCGCATCCCACAGATTTTCCTTAAGCGTCCTCGACGTCCCATGCGACTGCGAAGTGCTGGCAAGCTCTTGCAGCTTGAGCTGCGAAACATGTGCCATGCTCCAGCTCGCCAGTGTCTCCGGCGAGAACACATTTGACAAAAGAGCAGTGCCACATCTTCATCACATGTTCGCAGCATCTTGCGGAACAGCTTCGGCCACTCCAGCTGCTGCACTTGATATCATCAAGTCCAGTAGCGGCATATCGGCACGGAGCGATGCAGTGAAGCACCTCGGCTTCGCTTCGGCTATGTCGGCTATGTGTTACAACAGTGCCCCAAGCCCAAGCCAGGTCTGAAGTGCAAACGAGGGCACCGGCTCATGCTTGCCAAGGCCCGCAGGTTGAGCCTCTTCATATTGGTCCGGCAGAGGGTGGCCAGCGTCTTCAGCGAGGGCTCTGCAAGCTGAGGTTTCCCAAACGCCCGAGAGAGGCTACACGGCTCCTGCGGTTTCAAGCGCTTGAGCGCCCGTGCAGCTGCAGCCCTCATTGACAGGAGCTTGCCTGATGTGAGAGGCTTCGCCGCATCTCAGACTGCATTGGCCAAGCATTGGGAATCGGACCCCGGAACTTTGGATGCAAAGCACGGGCCCATCGCATCCCACAGCGGGAGATCACAGAGCTCGATAGTGGTGGACGCCTGCAAAGTACTGGTAAGCTCCACGGGCCGAAATCCATCACACTGCCGGGTGCCCTCTCTGGCAGGCAGATGCATTGACAGTGCCTGCACGAGCTAAACCTTCGCAAACCACCGGGCCAAATTCGAAATGCCCTGGGGCTACCGAGTGGAGTCAGCCAGCAAAAACATCTGTGATGTGGCCGAACTCAACATGAGTCCGTTCATCTTTTGCAATGTGCCAAAATCCCAGGCCATGTTACTGAGGCCCCGCATGCTAAGCCGTCTGATCAATGGCTGGGCCTGCAAGAAAGCAGCAGCCATGGCCAATTCATTGACCGTCTTCAACTTGGCAGATGCCCATAACAAACCTGACAAGTCCTGCGCGGACCAAGAACTGCCGGTAGGTGAGAGCTTCCGTCTTGCCACGCCGACAATTGCTTCCCACAGCAAAGCTTGGGAGAGTCGAGGGGTGCCAAAGTCTTGGCCCGTGTACGCAAGCTTCTGGGCAGGAAGCTCTGGCAGCTACTGCCGAATCTCAGCAGCGAATGCTTCCGACAAAGCCGGCTCTGCTGCCTTCAGCTTGGCATGTCACTATGCAGTGTGGGCTAGGAGTTGTGGTGTGGCGCGAGTGCCAGAGGCCTGCCATGCTGCATAGGCTTCGGGCCTAGGTGCACGGGCCTGGGCCGGACCAGCTTCGCGCACCATGCGGCCAGTCGCGAGAGGCCGCCTGAGGCTCACGACTGCGCATAACGAAAGCCGCTACCAAGGCTGCCAGGGTGGCCAGGGTGAGGTCGCTGTGGGGCCAGAGACGCGCCGAAGGCAGGGAGACGGTCAGAAACCATGCTGCGGCACTCCTTCAGGCAACATGCTTTATTTCTTCACTTGGTACGACTACCGCAAGTACCTTGATCCTGACACGAAGAGGCAGGTAGACGCACACGGAGCTGGGTCGAGTGCTATCAAAAGCCCTTTCCGAGTTCCCAAGGTCTGAGAGTGCAGCCGTCGACTTCCCCAGAGCTTTTGAGCAGAGTGTCTCCGCAGCCTTCGGCCACCACGATCACGCAGTGACCCTTGGACCTCAGATTTTGCGGCATTCTTGCGATGCCAAGTCACCGCGGGTCTTGATGCCACATAGCCACTGCATCAACTCCAAGCAATGCTGTAAAACCTTCTCCAAGCCTGAGCTCCAAGGTGAGTTGTGCCTCTAGCTCTCTTCACTTGAATGGCTTGTGCGACCGTTCCGGTCAAGCAGCAGATCTGCATCTCCGGGAGTAACACAATGTCCGCGTTCCGCGCTGCCAAGCACGCATGCAAGGCAATGAAGCCGGAGTGCCGGCCCATCCTGACAGGTCCACAGACCATGAGCTGCAAGGCCGCAAGGCCGCTGAAGAGTCTGCAGTCGTGTGCAGTCAGGGCTCAGCTTGACGAGGCCAATGCAGTTGGCATTGCAAGTGGCTTCCACGTATCCAGCTTTGATGGCGCGCTCTGCTTCCATGCAGGCAGTGTCGAAACCTGAGCGCACACCCGGTTCAACTGCTCTCCTTGCTGGAAAAGATGCCTTCTTATGCCTTCTTATGGCCGCTGAAGAACCAAAAGTGCAGTCCAGCATGGGGATATCATTGTCGATAGTCTTCGGAATTCCGATAACCTCAACAGCAGCAAGAGGCTGCAAACGTGATTCTACTGCCAAGCACCCATCACAACTTGTGCCCGTCGCTGAAGCTGCCAAGCAACTGAGCAGTTCCAGCCTTTGGCTTTGACCAGCTCCGCACAGTCCTGCAAAAACAACGTCTGTTTGCATAACATGCCGCATGGTCCGTCAGTGCACGCCGAGCGTCGAAGGCACCACGATGAGTGCCATCACCTCCGATGATGAAATGAGCACCTCGTGGATACAGATGCAGGTGTGCACCAATGCTTACAAGGAAACAAGTGACCTGGCCGTCTAAATAAGAGCGGCACGGACTCCCATGTCCATCAGAACCTGCACTTGTTCCTGGAGCAGGACATAAAATGGAGACAAGGGGAGACTACGGCTTTGGCCAGCAACCGTCTTCCCCGCACTCTTGCCCGCACTGTCTGGACATGCTCAAGAAGTTATGTCACCACAACTTCCTGCAGCTGCTATGGTAAGGTATGTAAAGGTGAAGTCGCCTCTTCTGTTGGGTTACCCCGGTCACTGACAAGGATGGTCCTCAGCCGTGTGCCGGCACTTTCAATGGCTGGTGTAAGTGAGCGCATCCAATGCGGCATATCGCTGAGATCCTGGCCCTCCCATGCTGTTGATATCCTGTGCAAAAACTTGCGGCAAAACAAGCGTCTATTCCCAGGCAGCTGCTGTCGCATTGTGACCAAAAGCCGCCTCAAACCCGAAAACTACTACGTATCTGATGGCTGCCGTTTACCCTGAATCACCGCCTGGCAAACCTGGTCTTTGAGAAAACGAACTTTCAAGAGGTGCCAGAGCCGCCACAAATCCCAACATGCTTGTCTTTGACACCAGCAGCCTCCTAATATTATGGATTGGTTCTCCAACCTTGCAAACATTTGTTCTCTGATTCATGAGCGAAGAAATGCATGATCAATTCGAATATAAGAGTGCCTACCTGCTGAGAGTGGACCAGTGGATGCGAAGAACGAGCTGTGATCCGACACCCCGTCATTTTTGCAGGCACAGCATCACTCGTGCGCGACCCACCCAATCCACTCAAGCGCTAACAGTTTTATTGGTGCAGCTAGGGCTACATGTTTGTTTCGGTTGCCAGCGAATGCCGTGAAATGTCATGCTCCTCAACTTAGGATGAAAATCGTGACTATGCAAAAACAGCGTCTTCGTTGGCAGGAGACTCGCAATGCATACTCCTGGCCCCTGCTGAAGGTTGCAAAACAATCCCGATTCTTCATTGTCCTATCCCTTGGTAACAGGGTTGTACACACACTTATATATATATATATATATATATATAGACGTATGTATGCATATTATATATATACATATATATATATATATGTGTACATTATATACGCACACATACATACATGCACTTACTTACGCACATACCACATCGCATGGGCGTCAAGGCATGATACTGTCTGATACTCTCAGCTGAATCTGACGATGTGCCTGCACATTATCTGGCGTCAGCTCCATCCACGTCTCCGGCTTGACTACCTGCAGCTGATGCTGGCTTGCCGGCAGCTGGCAAAACTGCAATACGCCAGTTGCCACTGTATTTTGAAAGCCTTTCTTGCTGCAGTCGCTTCACACTTCCATACCCACTGCTGGAACCGTTGGACAGACTGGGTATGCAGCTTTGCAGCTTACTTCTGCGGCCGAGGCAGGCTTACACGCTTTGCTTTCGCTTGCCAAGGCTTGCAAGACAAAGGAGAAGGAACTTGAACTTGGTAAACCCGAGCCCTCCTGATGCTTAGTTGTGGCATTCAGGCGGCCTTGGCAGGATCATTGCGCTACTTAAACTCACGGCAAACGTTGGAAGCCTCATAGGACGCCTTCTCTTTCAACGGTCCTTCCCTGAACCCCGTTCCAAGTTGACACCTTTCAGCACCTAAACAAATCGTGACACCGAAATCCACGCCGGACTGCTTGCTACATCTTGCTATGCTGCTACGCATAGGATAGCATTGGGCCCACACCCCCTTGTAGCCACCGCGGATGCCGTAAATCTTGCGGACCTGATGATTTGGACGCTCGGACAGAGCAGCCCACTTTGCTCTGCAATCTTTGAACATCTAGTTGACACGCCGAGGCAACTGCACCATATTGCGCGAGCATCATCACCAACTCACGTATAACCTGGTGGGAGTACTGGCTTCGCACATTATTCCGCACGGCCATACAGAATACTCACATGCACCTTCGGTTAGATGCCTTGCCAGGTCATCCGGTGACCGAGTTCGAGTTGCAAGACGAATGGCGCTCCTACATCTGCCCTGGGACCCGAGCTGCATTGAGACCAGGGCACAAGCCGCCACAGGTCACCAAAGTGGCCACAACTTCCTGCAAGTCCGTCGGCGAAACATCCAGACAAATGCTACAGCTGGACCGTGCTGTGTCGGCAACCGCCTCGGGATCGAAATGCAGTGTCGACCTGCATGTTCTGAGTCTCTGCCATTTCCCCTGTAAACCCTTCAGCACTGATGAACTGCGACAATGGCTAGCCACACCTGGGACCAGCCAGCGGCATCTGGTAGAAGCAATCATTGCCTTGGTGACTGTGAGAGCAAAAGCGAAAAAACAGCCACCATCTGGAACTAGGCATCCAGCTGCCAAGTTGTATTGCCTGCTCGGTGCTTTGACTTCAACACAGGTGTTGCCCAAGCAAAGCTTCGCAGGACTGCTTGCGCATGCCATCACTCTTACTAGTGCTGCAGCCCTGGGCTCATCACAAAACTTAATGACAAAACCAAGTGACTTGCAGTGCTGAGTGCCAGCCTGAGTGGCTCGTGCATCGTTTGGGATGAAGTGCCCAACAATCTCATTCCTGGCCGTACCGGAGCTTCAAGATCGGAAGAACAGAAAAAATGAAGCGAACAGGCAGCAAATCATTGTGCCAAGGCTCAGTGGAGAAGGGAGGCATTTTGACGTGAACACCTTGAAGCAAATGCTGAGTCGAGAATAAGCGGTGGATGCTCTTTGCTCCGGCCCGATGGCCTTTCCAAGGTCATCGATGATCAATCGCCTCAACTCTGCTCCTGGAGCTACGATGTCCCGTGCCTGCAAGCGCCGAAACAATTCCAAAGAGTTTGTCGCTACGTGGCAGGAGCGGTTTTGGCCTCCAGCTCCCTCAACGTGAGTAGATTCCCGTCAAAGTCTTCCACGACGAAGGCTGGATGGCCAAAGCTCTTCTTGTGAGGCCTTGGTCTGCATTCTAAGTGGGCTATGACGGAGTATGCCACGAGATAGCTGGCTTGAGCTCACGACGCCAGTCGTGCAGGCTTCTTGGCTGGACGCTTCGTGTGGCTCTGCGCAGCCTCTCCCCGGAAATGATCGAACAACTGTGCATCCCGTCATAAGGCCCATCTACCTGCACGGATGGTGGTCGCGGGATTTCCTTCACCTTGAAAAACCGAAAGCTGCGACAACCGAGATGCCCGGATTGCCCAAAGATGACATGTTTGAGAGCTTCGCTCGAGCGTTGGACAGGTGGTGTGCCATGTAAGCCTCGGACCAACAATCAAGAAAACCGCCCACGCAGCGGCTTTAGCCTTCTATAGCATATGTAACCAGCAATCCTCTTGGCAGGCGCTTGCCACCAGTTTGTAGCCGAAGCACATAGGGATCATCAGGCTTGTCGGCCAAGACACCTAACAAGCAGATACGAGATGCACGTCTGCGATATAAGTAACCCAACACCCCGAACCAACACCATTTCCCCATGAGTTCCGTCTGTCACGTTGCCTGCATGCGTGCTAGAACGCCCTGCACTATTCCGCCGCCTGAAACACTCCAGCTGCAAGCCAGGCGCTCGTGATCAAGTTTTGGATGAAGCGCTGCAACTCGTGACGCTCCAGGTATGCCTATACAAGTTCCGAAGCCGAAATGATTATCTTGGGATGAGCCCACCTCTGTCTCAGATAACAGCTCTTCACGCGGTGCCGTAAGCCTCGAGGTCATGATAAATTGTCACCATGCTCCGGGGAGCCACTCTTATGTAGCCGTCCCGAGGGTGTGGCTGTGGCTTGTCGGGTCCAGCCGCTGAGAGCCCTTGTACCAGCAGGTCCAAACTCATCCTCGGCACCCCCAACGCCCCACAAGCCCCGTCTGTGTAAGAACGGAAGGGACACTTTTCAAGCGCTGGACTTCTTCTCATGGTCTCCGAAGCTCACGGTGTAGCGATCATTCTTTGGTCGCAACACCTATTCATCACCGAACATGAAGCACATCGAACAAACTATGCCCCTGCAAACTTGGCAGTCTCAGGCACCAACCAATCTGGAGCTTCCCAGAGGGGCAAAGATGTCCACTTTGAATGGACACGCATCCAGAAGACTTGTTTGGGCGAACTGCACCTCACTCATGCAGGATTGCAACAGAGGCAACGACAGTACAACATGTAAATGATCCCGTGATTTCCCATGCATGAGCTCACGAATGCATCGCAAAGCTGTGAGATCCACTGGCTTGTCGGTGGAAAGCGTGCCCTGCCGTCTGACGTTGCCAGCACGAATGGACCTGCCAAGCTGTTTTCTTTCCTTCCACATCACCAGATTCGATCCAAGCGAGCTCTATTTTGTGAATCATGTCAGCGAGGCAGAATGCTCCCCTCCGGGATGCCAGAGGCGTTTTCCACGACAACCTCTCCATGCTGAAACGAAATCGCGGAATATGCTGTAGCAAACTCAAGGCCTCCATGTTTAGACGACCTGCATTCCAAATGAGCATGACATGGTCGTTGCCATTACAAGGATATCCACGCAAGGCCAAACTTCAGGCCAGGGCCCCACTTGGCAAACGGCCAATGTAGTCGTATCTACGTTCTAAACTGTCCTGAAGAGCTGCGGAGCATGCCTTCTGCATACACCGTGCAGGCAGAACGCAATACATGATCTAGTGCATGGAATCTCCGCAATTCCTTGAAAACTGGATATATCGACGCATCGTTTGTTGATCTTGACGGCCAACAGTTCGTGCAGGGCAGGCACGCTTCCCTCAACAAGGCACTCCCCAACCAGCAGCACTTCCAGGAGATTCCAGAAGCGAGCTAGCTAGCATATCCAGCAGGCTGGTCGAGAGCGACACCATGCAGCGCAGCGTAGAGCTGCCGGCATGTCGTTTGCACGATATCGGGTCAGCGGATGAGTTGGGCTACCGTCCCAAGCGGTCCCCAACTACATGCAACCTCTACTCGACCGCTTACGGCGAGCGCCGGTCTCGACAGCGTGCCCATCTGCGGCCACAGGGGCAAGCCCGTGCAGGGGTGTAACAACAGGGAGACTATCAAGTGCTATTCGAAGGACTTTCGGATGGCTAGGGTTTTTCTGCGTACAAGTACGGCTTGTGCTGATTGCCTCCAAGCAAAACGTGCTGCGCAACTCTGCCTAATATGGCCATTCCGTCGTACAATCGTGCATGAGGTAAGCACGTTGAGTGCAACCCGTGCTCCAGCTTCACGGTAGACTTTCGCATGGGCGCGTTCAGGAGGGATGGCGCGCGCAGCCAGGGCTCCAGACGTGATAGGTGCTGTACTTGCGCCGCTCCGCAACCTTTAGCGTTAGCGCAGCCCCGTCCACCTCCACCGTGCATGGAAGCGGGTGCCCTGTCCTTGAAAGTGGAGAAACCGGTGAAGCGTCGCAGCACAGCGCTCCGCCGTTGACAGTGGCGCCGCACACAACAAGGTCGATGGTCCTCAACTGGGATGCCGGTAACGGTCGTGTGGGCGAGCCACTGCTGCGGCACGACCTGACCTTCGGCTCCGACGGCCTGGCGCGCCACGCGGACCCGGCGTGCTCTACGACTTTCATTTTCGCACGTCTGATCCTCGAGCAAGCTTGGGGCTGGGGCACAGGCGTCGCCTCAACGCAATTTGCATTGCTTGGTGGGCTGTTGGTTGCCTGGTCGCACGGCACAGCAGAGAGGCACGCTCCGGCATGCGGTCCCGCTTGGGAGCGGAGCAGTGCGCGCGACCTGGGTCGCAAGGAAGGCAGAAACACGCAATCGCGAGAGTACTGCCAGCCGTCGGCACCTTGGTCCTGCAACGTTCGACGTGCGTTATTCGCCGTTTTGGCAAGGCAGTGCCCGCCATCTCCGGCTTGGGACTCGAGGAGACACACAATGTTGCACATGTCGCATGTTGCAGCTGAGGTGCACCTTTCCAGAGGTGTACCAACGCAGCAGGCTGAAAGGCATTCTAAGATTGGCATTGCCCCTGCAGAATGGCACCATGTGAAATCGTGGCTGAGGATGACAAGCCCAAATCGAGAAGCGGTGTGTTTGTCTTTCGGAGTTCGGGATGGGGGTTCGTCGGGTTTGATTGGGTCCGGTGGCGGAATTCGGAACTTGCTCTGGACATGGAGTATTCTCATCTAAATGACGTACCATATCAGGTAAAACAACGTATGCTACAAAGTCCTGCCCTAAGCCATTATTCAATCGTTACAAATTTTCCTCAAACCTCATAGCCAGTCCCCCTACACCACAACACCCAACAACAGCAACCGCCGCCGCAGAGCATCAGCAAGGAGGCAGCTTCGTGACCATGAGGAGCATGACCCTGGTCGAGTTGCCAGCGGATGTCTTGAGATCTTTCACTGCTAGTATTTCCGATGACCTGTCCTTTGCTGCTGATGTACAAGCTGCCGTGATTGAGTTGGCATACCGAACACAGTACCGTACAGAGGTCTTAGGATCGGTATTGGGTGAGGTGGGGCAGTCAGTGCGCGGATTGCAAGACGGCTATAGTCAACTGGTCGGAGGCTCGGAAAAAATCCACAGCGACTTGCAACAGCAGAAAAATGTCATCCTTGGTGGAAGCTAAGAATGTGAACTGAAATGAGCTGGATAAATTCAAAACAAACTTGCAGCATTGTCTTGAAGACCGTAGACATGAGATGACTGCAGTGAATACCACCGTCGAACGTTCGGTTCAGAGAGAGGCGACATTGCTTGCACGAATGGAAATCCTGGAAGGACAAGTGTTGCAGCTGAGCGAGGACATCAAACGGTCACCATCTACGAGCTTTCTTCTGGATGACCGTCGAGCGTTATGCTAAGGCTTGCGGGAATGATGTTCTCCAAGCTTTCAGTGAACCTTGAGTCGAAGGTGGGTACTCATGGAATTGGAAACATTCGTACTCACGGCGGAAGCCTCCTTGCTGCTCATGAACCGCCAGAGGGCGGTACCTCTCGACCAACCTCGGCTAGTCGAGGCTCCCCTTGCGGCAGCTAGGGTTCGAAGCCGGAATCCCCGTCGCAACACCTTCTGGGTGCGTCAGATCTTCTGGGAGGCTCCGCCGGGTCGGGTACTGTGGAGAGTCTCAGGCAGGCGCAAGAATCGCCGCAAGACCTCCTGACCGTGCAGCGTTCATGGTCAAAATCATTACGGGCATCCGCCTTTCGGAGGAAGTCGTGGATCCCGCCACTGGGGAGCGGCGGGAAATCGTCCACAGCGAACGCCGCATCGCCACGCTGCCCATGCTGGTTCGCGCGCTGGCGAACCCCGACGAAACGCTTCGTCGCTACATCGTGTCGGTGGCTCGGCGAACTCTCGAAGTCTCGAAGATCGCCTGGAGCATGCTAGGTTCCACAGTTCGCTCCAGAACATCATCGGCATGCAGATATGCATTACGCCGAGTCGGGAGCTCGCTCAGCTTCCCGTGGCACCTGGCGTGAACTTCGCTGGAGGCTGTTGGAAGGAGTTGCCAATACTCCTGCGGCACGGACAAAAGGGCTTGTGGTCACCTAGATATTTTTTTCACGCACCTTTTTGATGTCCGCAACACGGAAGAGTCCAGTTCCCCGCGCAAGCTGCGCGCTACAGGCCCAGCAGACTGGGGGTGGGAGGGGCTGCATCGTTCCTCCAGCCGCGGGTGCTGTGCACCAGGCAAGGCGCCCGCGACATACGGCGCTCCGAGCAGCGTGGCAGCAAGTGTGCTTTGCAGAGCCACGCCAGCGGCGCAGCCTGGGCGCAGCCATCCCTGTCGAGCAGCAGGGCACAGGGCGGCAGGGGCGCAGCAGAAGGCTGGGGCCGCCCCTCGCGCGTCAGAGGCGATACAAGCGTGACGTCGCAACACAGCGCCTCGCCAGGTGGAGTAGCGCCGTACACGACCAGGCCAAAGCGGCGGCGATCGGCTTGGTCAACATTAGGGGCGGACGTGCGTGCCAACCACTGCTGCAGGACGACCTGGCCCTCGGGTCCAACAGCCTCGCGCGCGATGCGCACCCATGCATGCTCGAGGGGCTTGGCTCGGCGGCAGTCCGAGCGACAGGCAAACGCCGCCGCAAGGCTGTGAGCATGCGGTCGGGCGGCAAAGCGGAGCCAGCCTCGCTCGGGACGGCACTGAGCCACGCGGCTGCGTGCGGCCCTGCGAACGCAGCATGGCCTGGGCAGGGGGTTGCAAGGTAGGCAACAGGTCGGTGTCGCGAAAGTGGGTAGAGCAGGCGCGGGAACCGTGATGCTGCGAAGTGCTTTCGTTTTTGCATTATGGCGGAGCTCCTTGGCTGCGAACAGCGATGAAGGGGACCTTACACTTCGAGGAAATCTCCGAGTTTTCTATTGGGCACCCCACCTTGCCCGGCCCAAGAATCCTAAAACCATGTCAAACTAAACCATACACCCTACAAGGACCGTTCACGGTCAGGCCCCGGCAAAAACCCGCACAACTTCAACCAGCACTCGCAGCCCCTCCTTCGCAAACGGTCAACGAACGGAAGGCCATAACCGGTGCCTTCGTTGCCATCTGTACAGCCACCTTCAAAGGTCCGGAGGCCTTCGGGCGGCACATGACGGCAAGGGCTTGCTCTGAAGACCCGCGAAAACGAGATGTCATCGATTTGAGGATGCCCGAAGCTGACGCTGCCGTTCTACACTACAAGGCTGGCCCTTCGGCTGGCCCTTCGGCGAGCATGCACCCCTGTGTTTGCTATGCCGACTTCGAGACCTTCAGCGAACGAGGCCCTGCGCAATTGGTCGGGCAGCGCATTCTGGCCAAACAGCCTCGGGTCGCCTCCTTCGCCTACATGGCAGTCGGGCGCGAAGGCTTCCAACTCCTTCCCCACAATCGACTCCAACTGGAACGCGCCAGCAAAGCCTCGGCAGAATTCGAGCTCATAGAGCTGTTCCTGAAAGATACCCAGGACCGTCAGCATTTACTTTCACAATGGTGCTTCCTTCGACGTCCACTACATACTCAGCTTCCTGGCTCACGAGAGCGGCTACGAGCGACATGAGGGCTACATCGGCAACTTTTCGGACCGCAACCGCAACCTCGAGACTCCGACGCGGACATGGAGAAAGGCGACTCGTGGTTTGATGATCCTTGGGCTGCAATCTCGCGAAGACCTGGCTGCACGCTCTGGTAAAGAGCGGCGAGAAGTGTTTGATGGTGGCGTTCGGCCCGCTGCGCTTTGTGGTCTCCATGAACGTGTTCCCGACCAGCTTGTCCTCCCTCATCGACGACTGTAGAGCCGCCTATATTACAGGAGATCCTCCGGAAGCCTTGCCGCTCATGACTGAACGTCATCCGCTGTTTGCAGCGGCCGAAAGGCAGGCATCCCTGCTTCATGCTTCGGCGACTTTCACGACGCGTACCTTTGCACACGTGATGAAAAGGTTTCGAGACACTTTTTAGGAGCACTTCCACCTGGACCCTTGCCAGTACGTCACGCATGCTTCCGCCAGTCACGACGCTGTGCTG